TCTTAAAAAAAAAAAAAAAAAAAAAAAAAAAGAGCTGGGCATGCTGGCATGCAACTGTAGTCCGAGCTACTCAGGAGATCAAAGTAGAAGGATCACTTGAGCATGGGAGGTTGAGGCTGGAGTGGGTCGTGATGGTGCCACTGCACTCCAGTGACAGTGCAAGATTTTGTCTCAAAAACAAAGATGGATAACCTTTTTCCTGTTTAGTGTTCTTTCTACAATACCACACCACCGAACAGCTGAAGATACCTTGCAAGGACTTTAAAGGTACGCACTGGACAGAGGGCCAAGACAGCAGGATTAAAGAGCCTCTATTGGGATAGTTTTAAAAAACTGACATTCCTGACATTTAGTGCCAGCTACATAATTATATCCTATACATTTCCAAAATGAAATATTGTATAGCCACTGTGATGTACTAAGAACACAACTGTTAAAAGGGAAAAAAAAGCACTCCTCAACTATGTTTAAAAGAGCCTTAGCTGTGTTTACTATATGGTGTTTCTGGCAGTGAAGGAGAACCTGTGGTCCCCTCAGTGTTGTAATTATTGTGTAAAATTTTTAATTCTTTTTCTGAGACAGGGTCTCACTCTGTCACCCAGGCTGGAGTGCAGTAGTGCGATCTCGGCTCGCTGCAATCTCTGCCTCTGGAGTTCAAGCGATTCTCATGCCTCAGTCTCCTGCCTAGCTGGGATTACAGGTGTGTGCTATCCCAAAGGCTAATTCGTATTTTTATTAAAGATAGGGTTTCACCGTGTTGGCCAGGCTGGTCTTGAACTGCTCGCCTGAAGTGATCCACCTGCCTCGGCCTCCCCAGTTACTGGGATTATGGATTATGAGCTACTGGGCTCAGCCTGATTAAAGTTACTTGGCATAAAGACAATCCTTGTGGACTTATTATTTTCTAAAAGCTCAAAACAGTAACCTGCATGTACATAATTGCATTTTTTTTTTTTTTGTGAGACGGAGTTTCGCTCTTGTTACCCAGGCTGGAGTGCAATGGCGCGATCTCGGCTCACCGCAACCTCCACCTCCTGGGTTCAGGCAATTCTCCTGCCTCAGCCTCCTGAGTAGCTGGGATTACAGGCACACACCACCATGCCCAGCTAATTTTTTGTATTTTTAGTAGAGACGGGGTTTCACCATGTTGACCAGGATGGTCTCGATCTCTTGACCTCGTGATCCACCCGCCTCGGCCTCCCAAAGTGCTGGGATTACAGGCTTGAGCCACCGCGCCCGGCTCATAATTGCACTTTTAGGTTTTGATCACATTTTTAAAAGGCCCCTAGACTGTTCTTACCTGAATTTTGATCTCTACCCTTTGGTCCTTTGCCTACCCTACGTGGATGGAAACATCAGTGCAGTGGTACAAAATACATTAACCTAAACTGCTTCCTGGCTTCTCTCCACACCAGCCAGCACCTCAAGTGTAGGATTCCTGCTTACTGTGAGCTGATCTACTCTCCCACCTAACTCACTCTCCATGCTGTTTCTCAACCAAATAGACTGGGACCTCCTAGTGGGTACAAATGGCTGGTCCCATCACGTATTAGCCTAAGTATCAGTGACCACCCTTTATCCATCCTCACAGCACTTTATGTACTTATTGGCTTGTGTGGGATTATCCCTAACAGTACAATGTTTGACATTCCTGACAACTACGCACGGACACCGACAGCAGCCAATAGTTACTGTAATAAAAAACCCACCCCTACAATTTCCAAATACCTCGGGGTGGAGGTCGGGCAATATTGCCACAGCTTGAGAACTCTGCCCTAGAGAACATTCATTTCAGCTAAGCAGCAACAGCATTTCTGGGCATAATATTGGGATAGAGACAGATGCCAGCTAGGGACACCACCTTATTCCAAAGGCATCCAGAATGCAACACTAGGACAGAGGGTCACCTAACAATGATCCACTTCCAGACTTTCATGGCTACTAGCTAAAGAAAGGAGAAAAATAACCACACAGTGAGAACTTCATCAGAACTAAATTTATTAAGGAAATCTTGGGTATCATGCCCTTCCTTTTTTTTTTTTGGCCACTAGGTTGTGGGCACTGCCTCTACACTTTAGTATGGTACAAATCACCTGCAGAACTTGTTAAATCAGATTCAAATTTAGTAGGTCTGTCGTGGGGCCCAAGAGTTTTAATAAACTCCCAGGTGATCCTATCTACCCACTTGGTACAAGCTCAACCACAAATGCCAGTGCTTTAGATTCCAGTGGGACATTTGTTTGCAAGTTAAGCTTCTAGCCAGAATAGGAGCAAGCTGTCTAGCTACTGGGTAGGTAAGTGTCTGTCTGCAGTGGTTTCAGTCCTTCAGGTGTTTCACAACTTACCCAAAATCTCAATGGTAGAGCTAGGACTAAAATCTGGTTAGCTCTTTTAACTCCCACCAATGCTTTTTCCACTGGGTCAGGAGCATAGCAGTTGTTTTTTTAAATGGAAAGTTAAGTCAACTGAGCACACAGACAATGCACAAGGACCAAATGAAGGCTCAGCAGGTTTGTCCTGTTAAAACTGAGAGACTTTCTACATTGTGTTTTCTTTTTTTTGAGACGGAGTTTCACTCTCGTTGCCCAAGCTGGAGTGCAATGGCGCGATCTCGGCTCACTGCAACCTCCGCCTCCTGGGTTCAAGCAATTCTCCTACCTCAGCTTCCCGAGTAGCTGGGATTACAGGCATGCACCACCACACCCAGCTAATTTTTTAGTAGAGATGGGGTTTCTCCATGTTGGTCAGGGTGGTCTCAAAGTCCTGACTTCAGGTGATCCACCCACCTAGGCCTCCCAAAGTGCAGGGATTACAGGCATGCGCCACCACCCCCAGCTAATTTTTGTATTGTTAGTAGAGATGATGTTTCTCCATGTTGGTCAGGGTGGTCTCGAACTCCTGACTTCAGGTGATCCACCCACCTCGGCCGCTCAAAGTGCTGGGATTACAGGTGTGAGCTACCATCCCCAGCCTACATTATATATTTCTGAAATGCTTTATTTACATGAAACTAGCATTTGTTCTCTGCACCCAGCACTAATTACCTATCCATTTACCAAGTCTGTTCTTAAAGATGTTTATTGCAAGTTATTTAATTCAGAAGTTAGTAAAAAACAAGTATGGTTCCCCCTATAAAAATGAAGCTGAATTTTAAGAATGAGATATTCCTTCACTCCATTTGAGGTGGGGGCCCCGGCCCTGTAGTAAAAGATTTGAGAAATGAATGCACACTTTAATTTTAAATGAAATAAAAAGTATATGGCAACACGTTCCATGATGCTCCCCTTTAACCAACTAGAGCTCATCTTATTGGGTAACTATTTTCATTAAAAAATGAGGCACACCCTGGGCCGGGCGCGGTGGCTCAAGCCTGTAATCCCAGAACTTTGGGAGGCCGAGGTAGGTGGATCACGAGGTCAATAGATCGAGACCATCCTGGTCAACATGGTGAAACCCCGTCTCTACTAAAAATACAAAAAATTAGCTGGGCATGGTGGCGCGTGCCTGTAATCCCAGCTACTCAGGAGGCTGGGGCAGGAGAATTGCCTGAACCCGGGAGGCGGAGGTTGCGGTGAGCCGAGATCGTGCCATTGCACTCCAGCCTGGGTAACATGAGTG